TCTCTCTCTTGTAATCTGCAGATACTGAGAAGTCAGATAGCGAGAGGGTAGAGAAGAGATGGTGGACCTAGAAGAGGAAGAAGAACTCTATCTCACTCCCTCTCAGTCCGGTACTGACCTGTGAAGTTGGCGCCTTGATGCAGGTACCTCGAAGATGAAGCTGGAGCTATGGCGCCACAGGTAAGTATCTCTGGCCTCCGCCAACCATCTCCCTCCAACACTACTCTAACGCTACTACTACTAGCGCCCAGCGCTGAAGACTACAGCTAATGCTAACGCTGCTCTCCTGCATCGCTCCTCCTGAAGACTACTGCCGAATGCTGAAGACTACTGCCGCCTCCTGAACTGCACGTGAGGTGCCTAGGAAGTTCCCATGAACGGCCTCTGACTGCTTCTGACTGCCTAGGGCCTGCAGGGAGGGCCAGTCCTATATAGTGCTGGTCAGGCCCGCAGGCTGCTCTTGCCAATGCCAAAATGTGCCAGGGTCTGGCGCTGCAGCTCCATGCTGAGGCTGTTGTGGGAACAGGCCAAAAATAGACTGTTCCTGAAAACCCTGGTTTGGTGCCTGAGTTTCAGGGCAGGTCGGTCTGATGAGGACCCCAAAATGGGTCTCAGTTTCAGGCTAAAAGGGCTCATGCCGTTTTTAGCCTGAAACGACACAGGGCCTGTAGGCCCTAAATTTCAGGCTTTCGGCCTGAAATTCAGGCTTTTAGCCTGAAGGACGCACGGCCTGGAAAATGGCCCTCATGTGCAGGCGCAGCATGTAACATTTTCTCTGGTCGAATCCGATCGTAATGATGGCTAGATTCAGTCAAACGAACATGAGTATGCTCTCAGAATCTCATAACAAATCCAGAGTGTCAGAGCGTGAAGCAGTTCACGAAATGTACACATTTCCTGGAATGTATCCAAGCCTCTATTACGGCCATATTTTCAGTTAAAACTTAAAACAGCCCTTTTGTGGGTAAGCCCATTTCCTTGAAATGCAGAAAAGCCTAGCCCTGGACGAGAGATGGAGAACTTAGGCCAAAAAAAAAAAGTGATACCAGTGAGGAACACCCATCGGCAGACACCGATATTAGCAGACTTATGCATGCCCTTAGGAGTCATGCCCTTAGGAGTCCACGTGATCAAGGTGGGCTGTTTCATGCAAGATTGCCCTCCTGGATCATCCGCAAGATAATCCCTGTCAACAATTCGCATACAAGCATCTCTCTCTCTCTCTCTCTCTCTCTCTCTCTCTCTCTCTCTCTCTCTCTCTCTCTCTCTCTCTCTCTCTCT